CACCCAGATTTCATGCCTAAGGCAGGACTAGAACTCACCGTCTCCTGGTGATTGGCCCAAAACCATCCAGATTTCATATGTCTAAGGTTGTATATTAGAATTCTCTGTCTCTCGGTTTCTAGCCTGGTGCCTTAACTACTAGACCGAACAAGCCACCTTTTATTTGGAGATATTTAAGTCTCTTTTTCTTTTTTTTAAATTCTTCGTTGCTCCCTGTAGCAAAGCATGAGGGAAAACAAAGAGAAACAGGCCCTGTCCGATCTCATGATCAAACCAGTGCAACGAATTCCACGCTACGAACTTCTGGTCAAAGTGAGTATTTGAAGCACGGCGGTTGATTTGGCTCAAAGGAAACCGCGACCAAAGAGATCAGGATCAACGGCGCTTTTAACCTGGCTTAATACAGAAGTCTACCCAGGTAGTCTACAACCACAGTCAAGCCCCGAAATTCGCTTTGCTAAGTGAAACAGTTGTTAAGGGAACTTTGCCCCCGTTTTACGACTTGTCTTGCCACCATTGTTAAGCGAATCCCGACGGGTATTAAGTTGGGAAGTGACTTTGCTAAGGTGGCAAAAGGGGATCGCGTAATCCCGGGGCTCTATGACCGTCGTAAATGTGAGTCAGTCGCCAAGCCTCTGAATTTTGGTCCCGTGACTGCAGGGATGCTGCAATGGGTCGTAAGTGTGGAAAAAATAGTCCTGTTTTCAATGCCGTTGTAACTGTTGTAACCGACACTCAATGGATGATCGTAAGCCGAGGACTAGCCCTGATGTTATTTTTAAGCTCCTAATATTTGCCTTATTTTCATTTTCTTAGTTTTGGGTTTCCTTTCTTCTGTCTGTTTTACTTCTCTGTATTTTTCAAACCGTGACAATTACCGTGTTTCCCCAAAAATAAGTCCTGGTCTTATTTTTTTCCCCCCACCAAAAAAGGCACCAGGTCTTATTTTGGGGGGATGTCCTCTACTTGACTAATCTACTTGCGCACGTCACCCCCTTGACCTCCTTTTCGCTGACAGGGGCCTTCAGGAATGACTTCTTCTCACCCTAGCTTAATTTTTACCCATCCACGCTGGATCTTAATTAGGGCTTATTTTGGGGTAGGGCTTATATTGTAAAAAAAATAACAAGCTAGGTCTTATTTTCAGAGTAGATCGTATTTTCAGGGAAACGGTATTGGGTGCTGGAAAAGAAAATCCGTTTTTCTTCCTTTCTTTTTTTTTTTTTTTTCTCCCCCATTCCCGAAAATTTCCCCAGGGGAGATTTCTTGCGTAAACACAGAGAGGACTAGAAGAAGGCAGTTGCGCCCTGGATATTTTCCATGGGAAATTTTCTCCCCTCTGGGTTTTCTGCGGAGTTGCTTCTTCAGTTTTTCAGTTCTTCAGCTCTGATTTTTATTTTTATTTTTTTTCCGATGGTGTGCAAACTGAATGGTCAAGATTTCCCTTCCTGGCTGAATTCCTTGAATATTTTACATGCCTCTTCAAAGCCCCAGTTTGGAACTATTTAGAGAAAGGCCGATTAGTCATTTTGGAAGGCTGAGGCCTCCATCTTTCAGGAGAAAAAGAAATAATAACTAGCCGTTTGAAGGAAACCGTATCTGTCTGTCATCCCAGGGAGACGCGAAATACAGGGTAGGATAGGACCCCGGTGGAGCGCAACATTTCCGTCGCTAAGCAGGGCAGCCGCTAAGCGAGTCACAGTCCATTTTATGACCCCTTTTTTTTTTTTGGCCACGCCTGTTAAGCGAATCACTGCACTCGTTAGGTGAATTATACAGACGTTAAGTAAATCTGTCTTCCCCATTGACTTTGCTTGTCAGGAGGGGAATCACATGACTGACAATGCAACAGTCGTAAGTACATGCCAGTTGCCAAGCATCCAGATTTTGATCATGTGAACCCTGGGGATGACCCAACAGTCGTGAGTGTGAAAACCAGTCATGTCGCTTTTTTTTGTCAATACTTTGAATGGTTGTTTGGAGTTACAGCAGCACTGAAACAAGACACACAGCCAGTTTTGGGGGCTAAGGCGGGACTAGAACTCCCAGTCTCCTGGTGATTGGCCCAAAGTTGCCCAGCTGGCTTTCATGCCTAAGGCGGGATTAGAACTCCCACTCTCCTGGTGATTGGCCCAAAGTCCCCCAGCTGGCTTCATATCTAATGCAGGACTAGAACTCCCAGTCTCCTGGTGATTGGCCCAAAGTCGCCCAGCTGGCTTTCATGCCTA